GACTCCAATTGCTGCTTCAATTAATCGCTGGAGTGTTCTTGATTCTGAAACAGATGTAAGCTCATTTTCTAGAACAGTCCAAACTGAAGATCCTTCAAAACTTGCTGGAGTTCTATCCAATTCAGGTATGGATTCAAATACTGCCAATTCAAATTCAGCTGGGCTACCTGGTGGGGGTTTTAATCAACCCGAGCCATCGGAAGTAGTGGATGATTGGGAAAAGGCTTATGAATGAGAGAGAGAAATGAGAAAAATACCATTAGGCTTATGGTAAGGGTGATGTGGCTGCCCATTTTCATTCACAAATGGTTGGAAAAACTTTGGTTTGGTTTTTAGTTGTCTACTTTTCACCCATTATTATCATAAGGGTGTGAGTATGATCTTTCAAAATTCTTTTTCTCTTTTTTCCATTGTCTGGGCAAGGCCTTGCCTCTTTTACTGTAAAGGTGAATTTTTGTTGCAATACAAAGTAGCTAATACATGTACAACCTTTTTGTTAATGTGTTGAACCCAACTTCCTTCCAGCAATCCCAATTTTTTTTTTTTTTTTTGCAAGAGAATTATATTTTATCACTATAAAAGAATGAAAACTTCATACAAGATGCTGCTATACCTTTTTTGATCTGATAAAATGGTAGTTTGTACCTACAAAACCGAGCTTTTAGGTCACAGTTATTCATCTTGTCTTCTGGAATTGTTGCTTGTGCATTCATTCAGTGGAGTACTGCATTGACTTGATATGGAGGGGTCTCTCTACTGAGTTTCTGTTATAAAAACAGCCACAACCCATGAATCATTTGTTTGATAGCAGCTGGAGGGGTCTGCTTACTGAGTTTCATTGTAGGAACAACCACAACTTGTTGATTATTTGGAAGGTGTATGTTGAAGGTACGATCTCTGCCAGTTTTTTCCTATCATTCTTTTCTTCTTTTTATATACTTGATTGCACTGGAATTTTGATCTTAAATTTGTGGTTTCCTTCTGTCTTGTCATTTGAGAATTTCAGGCACATTTCATGTTTTATGTGAGTCATGTTTCTTCTTGATCATAGTATAAATGAATGATGTAGTACCTTAAAATGGCAATACTTTTCTGCATGTTGTCTGATTAGGGCACATGAGAGTAGTTGAGTGCTTGAGGTGGCACCTGAAACTGGTTTGAGTAAGCTTTCCTTTTTTGTCCATACGTTGAAACCCTATAGTTTTCTGTATTAATGTTGGGAAAATTGAGGGAGAAAATGAGGGAATTTAAAGAGTTATTTCTCTCTATATATAGATAATAAATGTGAAGGGGGATTCAAGCCTAAATGGGCAGCAAACAGGGACTCATCAACAACAAAGACAGCCCTTTTCCAATAAACAGACCATCTTTATTGTTGCTAAATATCATGTTTTATTAACCTATTCTATCGTTTTTTTCTTTATCCTTAATAGAAGAAAAAAAAAATTCAAACCCAAATTATTAATCAAGATACATGCACTTAACTTTACATTAAATGATTAAGTTTTATTCAAATTTGTTAAATCAGGAGATGTTTTTTTCATCAACTCTGTTTTCTTTATGGCTAGTCATTGTATTAAAGTGGTCATTCCAATTGTTAAAGACTTAGGTAATAAATAAACACTGGGTTCACTATTTTTGTCTATTTGTTTGTTTTTCTTGGGCTGACCTTTTTGTAATTATTATTGTAACATATTTTGTATTTTTGCATATCCACAATTCTACGTATAAAAAAGACGTTATTCTTAATTTGACTTCATTGGATTTGATTACAATAAAACTAAATAAAGACACAACTCAGATTGAAACTAGGAAAAAAGGTTACAAGAATAACACATAATAAAATTACATGAACACAATTATTTTAAAGTTTTTATACCTGAATATTTAATTCAATGGAGTAGAACTGATTAAAGCTAAAGGTTCCATATTTTAAATCTCAGTATTTACATTTGAGGCACTTCCATGCCCTTGATGGTGGCATCAAGGGTCGACATCGTGGGCTCCTCTTCCAAATTGTTACTTGCAAAGTCTTTGGATGAGTTGTCAAGAGATAATAGAAAAGGTTTTGGGGGCAGCTCAAGTAGCTCAACCTCACCTTCAAGCATCTCCAATGCCTTACTGATTGAAGGACGATCAGTAGGCTTTATCTGAATGCACCAAAAAGCAGTTATGACCATCTTCCTTACAATTTTCTTTTCATTCTCAGTGACGTCTCCTAACTCTAAATCCTCCTCTTTGTCAAATCGATCATAAATCCATGAAGGGAAATATATTTGACTAGATTGCTCAGCAAATGCATTCAAATTCCTTCTCTTGCCCACCATTTCCAGTAACAACATTCCAAAGCTATAAACATCAGCCTTACGTGAGATACTCCCAATGTTCTTGTAAAACAATTCTGGAGCAATATATCCGAGAGTACCTCGTGCTGCAGTGAGAGACACAATACTATGATCTACTGCATATAGTTTTGCTAAGCCAAAATCCGAAATTTTGGGAGTGAAGTTCTCATCTAGAAGAATGTTATGTGGTTTGATGTCAAAATGTAAAATTTGCATTTGACATCCTCGATGCAAGTATTCTATTCCTCGGGCCACACCAATTGTAATCTCAAATGTTTTTTCCCAACCTAAAGTGGTGTCTCTTTCTCCTGAAAATATGATCTTATCCAAAGAACCATTTGGCATAAAATCATAAACAAGTGCTTGTTTTGATCCTTCTACACAAAAACCAATCAATTGTACCACATTAACATGATGAATCCTTCCAATGGTGGCAACTTCATTGATGAAATCTTGCCCATGTGATTTTGACATTTCTAACAATTTTATTGCAACAAGACGCCCGCTTCGAAGCGTTCCTTTGAAAACTGAACCATAACCACCTTGTCCTAATTTATCCTTAAAACATTTTGTCATTCTCTTTATTTCGGAATAAGAATACCTGATAAGCATTAAATTATTTTGCATTTGAAGAAATTCTTCAATTGTATCATCCACAGACAAATGTCTCCTTCGAAATTTAATTAGCACAACTGCAATCAAGCATGCAACCCCCAATAGAGTTCTAATAAAAATATATACTCCTGTACAAGAGAATTATTAATAAGAAGACATCAGCATAAATAATCAAGACAAGGAACTGTATATTGGTTTAGCAAGGGGATGGAAGTGGCACTGCTTTATTAGAAATTAAGTTATTAATAACTGAAATATAATTTTTTACTTCTTGATAATCACTAATAGTCGAATATTTGTTTTTAAGCCATATTGAGAACACAATTTTCTTCACATAGTTATTAAGATAGAAAAAGCTTTGATGATATACAAGGCATATTGACTATCTATCTATCTGTATTATAGAAATATATAACGTTATTAGTTGTCCCTCAGGATAACTTAGATATTAAAACTTAAACACTTCATCTTGGGAGTTTTTGATTCCAATCTTAAAGCAAGGGGAATGATATCGGTTGTACCCGATTGTATAACTCAAAATTATTTTTATTTATCTCTACATATCCATCAGAGGTGTGAGGGACATTAGTATCATGCACATAATCATTAAAGCTTAATTATGCAAGCGGTTAGCGGCCGAAACTAGCCGATCAACCATGAAAAGGAAAAAGTTGGCTTTGATGTCACTAGGTTTTCCTAAGACTCAGACTGGTTAGTGATAAGGTTCTGAGTGGTTAAGGGCAATGAACATAAAAGAACGACCACGGTGGAGAGAGGATGGGTGGGGACCCAGGGGGAGATGGGAGGAGAACTGGAAGCAGAACCAGGTTCATACAGTCTTCGTTAACAACGTACCAGAAAGGGTTGATGCAAGCTGGTTACAGAGAGTCTTTGAGGATTTTGGGAAGGTGAGGGAAGTCTTCATATCAGTGAGAAGAAGTAAGGCTGGCAGGAAGTTTGGGTTTATTAGATTTGAAAGGTTATGGGAAGCACAACGAGCCATCTATAGTCTGGACGATGCATGGGTGTTGGGTTGTAGATTAGAGGTCAATATGGTAAAATATGATGCAAAGGGACAAAATAAAAGTAATGGAAGAAGGTTGGGTGGAAGACAACAGA